TTTAGGAATAAACATTTTATGTCTTAGTTTTATTGAGGTCTTATTTTTCATTTATTTTAAAGTACATATATGGTTTATTTACATGCTTACGTTTACCTTTTTTGTATTAATTAATAAGATATTAAGAACAGAAGATTATTAAAAATTATTTAATTTACTAATAGAATAATGCAGTTATAAGTGAATTTGCATATTAGAATAATTTTACAAAATTATAGTAATTTAATGAGAAAATATATATGTATATATATATATATATTTTTTTTGTTAGAATTTGAAGTTAATTATTTGTATCAAATTTTTATTTCTTCTCTTTTTTATTGAATATTTTTTAATGATTTTAATACCATGTTATAAAGAAAATACTCATATTTAACAAAGACGTATATTTTATAATACAAGAAAAGTAAATTTAGTAGGTATATTTATATATAAAATTGTTATATAAAGTAGTATATGTATAGAATATCTAAAGATTTTAGTTACATATTTATTTTAAAATCCCCTTAATTTTTTTTTTTTATCATTTCCAAATTATACTATTAACCTTAAAAATGAAATGTATTATTCATATTAAATTATTTTATTAATATATATATATATATATTATTTTCATTACTATGTTTATGAATATTAAAAAGAATATTTATACATATTATTTATATCATTGAAATTCACGTATTGGTTAATAAAAGGCTTCATTAACCTTTTTGGCTATAAAAGAACTAGCTATGTGGAGAATACATAGTTAGTTGTGCTAACTAAAAAAAAAAAAAAAAAAAAAAAATTATTGGAATTTTTTTTTTGAGAAATGTTTCTTTCGAAAAAGATAAAGATAAAAAAAAAAAAATAAAAAAAGATTTAATTTTTTTTTTTTTAGAGAGAGAAGAGAATCGGAGAGAGAGATTTTTTTTACAAAAGATAAGGATATTTTTGTAAAGTGTTTAATTTGCATAATATTTATATTTTGAATTTGTGAGAGAAAATTTTATACGTATGAAGATAAAATTTTCACGTAATTAATATGCATATAATTTATTTGCATTTTTAATAAGTATTTGTGTTTTGTTAATTCAATAGCAATATAAAATGATTGCTGAATATAACTCATAATAAATAAACTAATAATTATAGTCAATTAATAGTTAATGTTAAATAAGTGTTTAAATTTTTAATAAAAATAAGGATTTATTTATTAAAATAAATAAATACCTTTTGAAATAAAAGGATGATGAACGAAGTAGTTTATGATTAAAGATCATTCGTTCAAAGCATATAAAAATATACATAAGTATAAGAAAGTCGTAGAGTCATCTCTACATGCTCTTTATTAATTGGTTTGTTCAGTACTCTAGCAAAGTCTCCGAACGCCCAGTTAATAAATCACGTATGTACTAACATAAATTCTTTTAACATGTTATTACACTATGTATATACAAATACATTATTTGCACTTAATCAATAAAAATTATTATAAACCTTTTTAATTATTCAACAGGAAAAAATCTAATTGTACTAAAAATTTTGTTGTGTATGAAAGATATTTGAGAGAATGCTTTAATTGCCCAATTTAAAGGAATTATATGAATTTTAAAAAGTAAGCACACTAAAAAAAATTTTATTATATATTATTTTTTTTTACAATTATTTTATTTTAGAAAGTAGTATTATATATAAGTATATAAGAAAATGATGATTTTTTTTTGAGAATTATTTTATTAATAATGATGAAAAGAAATAACATTTTATAACTTAAATTTTTGTAAAATACGAAATATATATATATTATATTATTCATTTATTTTAAATATTAAATATTTAAGTTTTAATAAAAATTACTAAATATTGTTATCAAATTATATAAACATATTTTAGGTTATTGTATTGAGAATAATAAAATGTTTAGTTAAAATAATTTCAATTAAATATTATATATACAATATAAAATAAATTTTTTATTTCATATAACATTGTACATATTTGAAGATTACATATATAATCTATAATAATTAATTTTTCAATAGATAGAATTAAAGAAGTCTACATCTTTATTAATTTGATTATTCAGCATAGTATAAAAATCATTAAAAAGTTAATAATTCAATATTGAATAACCTTGATTTATATTACATTGAGTACATATTTTATATATATTATCTAATTTAGAAAGTCATATATATGTACATTATATATATAAGTTCATAAATAATATTTTTATAAATATTTTATTCTTAATTATGTAATTAATGTGAACATTGATAAAAAAAACTTATATTTTTAGAATATCATTTATGAAACCTTGTGTATAATGCTTAAATGATCAAATATACTATTATTCTTATACTGTTTGTAAGGTACTTTTCTTTATTATTAGTTAATATTTTACATAACGAATATTTTTTTATTATAAATAAATAAAATTTTATCATATATTGTTATTCGCTTTATCAAACTTTATTAATTGCATTGAATAATTAGAATATATATGGTATTTATAAAACCACTTAAAAACAAAAATTAACTTTTAATAAATTACATGCCTAAGAATAGCATGCAACTATATGAAGTAATATAGAGTATAGTATGTTAGTATTTTTATTATATATGCAGTTATAACATGATAAGTATTTTATAAGAAATATTCATATTAATAAATTTAGAAAAAATTAATACATAATTGTATATTTTAAGTTAAAGAAAAGTAAGGAAAAAATATGAAATAAGTGAATTTCAATATTTATAAATTTATAATAACAAAATTTAAAATTTATTATTTATTTTATTTTATTTTATTTTTAATTTCTACATTTTATATGCCTTAATATTCACCTATTTACCTACAATTAAAAGAGGATAAATCACAAGAAATAAATTTAACGATAATAATGCATTTTTTTTTTCTTTTTGATAATTTACCAATGTAGAAAGTATATCTAACATCTATAGTTTAAAGAATCCTAGATATAATTCACTGATTAATATTTTTGTTGTACATCAATGAATATTTTTTTTGAGGCCAAAGATATTACATTATTTTTATCCGAATCCAGCAAAGAATTATTTTAAATAAAAATTTTTTAATACCTCCTTTCAACTATAGTTTTTTCCTATTTTTTTTTTAAAAATTATAGTACTTTAATGTTGTAAAAAATTAACTCTCTTTGAAATAATAAAAAAATTTTAAATGGACATCAAGTTAAAAGGATTGTTTTAAACACCCATGATTAGATGAAATGTGTCAAAAAATATTTTAGAATATTAAACCATTAAACTATTAGATTTGTTAAAAATATAGTAATATAGCATATTAACTGTCAATCACGAATATATTTTAACATAAATAATAAAAATGGCTTCTTTCCTAGTAGCTTATAAATCTCGTAAATACATAAATAAAAATGGTTCTTTTTCAATTATTACATAAAAATAGCAAATGCAATAAAAAAAATGGTTCTCTTCTAGTAATGCATAAAATATTAAATGTTTTAATAATTGCTTTTTTATAAATTAAAAATAAAAATCATAAACTATGTTACTTAAGTCATATATAGAACCAATAAATTATGAAATGGTTTTAACAATTTACTCTTTTAAATGAATTTTCAGAGAAAACATTAATTTATGAAATTAACTAATTTTGGTAATACCATTAATAAAGGGAGTTGTTTTATTGAGGCAAATTTCATTTTTTTTACCTTCTTTAAGTAATGTAAAGAAAATTACCATTTCTATTTGTAATAAAGTTTTTTGAGTAAAAATATACGTTAAATGAAACATATTTTTTGTAATAAAAGAAAACACAAAAGTTATCTGAAAAAAATAATCAGAATTTAACGCCTTTTATTTGATAATATATTGAATTAAAATTATTTAATTGTTATTTTTATGTAAATATAAAAGTAATTAAAAAGATAATTAAATAAATGGATAAATAAAAAATAAACAAATAAATAAAGTAATGCTTTATTCTTGACTTCATATGTTACATATTTTTACACACAATTATTTAATTTTATTATTTATTAGAAGTAAAATAATTAACGTTTTATATGAGTTGCATGAATTAAGTATTAATTAATTTTTTTATTTAGATAAAATTTCTAAAACTAAAAGAAAAATAATAAAATATAAAAAATTATAAATTTTAAAGTAAGAAGATTTATAAATTGAAGAATGTTTATATGAAAAAAAAATAAATTATTCATTTAAAATATTATTTTATAAAAAGAGTTGTATTTAAGCAATGAACACATATTAATTCTATTTAAAGCAAAAAATAAAAAAAGTAGGAACGTTGTTAAGATGAATTTATTTTATTTTATATAATTGATAATATTCATGCACAGAATATAACATAGATTTGTTAATACATAAATTCGAATAATTAAATTTCATTTGAATATTTATTATTTTATAATATGTTTTGAAAGTTAATTATAATTTCGAAAGAACATACAGAAACATTTAATGTTTATTAATATGAATATTCATATAAGAATATTAAAAACTCTACATATTTTGATATACTGTTAAATTAAAAATACAGTATTTTATATTTAAAAATATAAATAACATACAAAAGACTTAAATATATTTATTATTTTTAGTTGTACCGAATACAAAGAAAAAGATTTTTACTAGTCTTTTGATAAAACTTTATTATATGAAAATAATGATATAATGAATTTTATTAAATAAACAAAGATGAATTTACTATTTATAATTCTTTACTTGATTCCATTGAAAGGAATATTTCAAATATTTAAAATAAATAGTATTTATTACTTGATTTACTTTTTTTTACAATTTTTCATGATAGCTAACACTTCTATCTCAGGAAATCATAAGAAAGATAAACCCCTCGGTTTAAACATAAATGTGTACATATTTTTTTTTAGATATTTATGCAGATAAATATTTTTACTTCAAATAATATATATGTATAACTTTTTTCTATTTTTAGTCATGATTCTCCTACAATTTCGTGTAATGAACAACCTATGTTATGTGATATGAGAACAAGAATTGAAACGCATAAAAAAGAATTTAAACCGAAAATTCTTTCTTTTGATTCAGAATATTTTTTTGAAGATTCTCAAAATTCCCCCCTTGATTCACCTACAGAATTGTATTTATTTTATTTTATTTTATTTTTACAAGTTAAACTTTTTTTCATAAAGTTACATTTTACATACATATTTAATTTTAAGATCAAATTTAGGCGTTAATAGTAATGATTATCGACAAAACATAAACATTTCATCTAATGAAGATAATGAAGAAAATACAGAATATAATATGATAAAAGAGAAGACCTGCAAAGAGAAAAGCGAAGAAGATATGAATCATGAGGGTAGTAAAAATACTGCTAGTTGCAGCAGTAGTCCAAAATATATTATGTATAAATATAAACATATTTAATTCTATTCTAGACCTCAGTTATTTGTTATTTTAATTAAATATTTTGCTTTTAATTTTTCATATTTTTAGTTACGATATAAATTTCGATATTGATAAATCAAACGATGAGGTACCAAATAAAATAGTAGAAGATATTAATAATTATCTAATAGAAAATGTAGAGGCTTATGCAAAAGAAGATACTGATGAGGAAAGCCAATTTTTTATAGAAAATTTTTCCTTTGATTTATTTCAAAATATGTATATATATATTTTTTATATTTTAACTTGTAAAATATTTTTGTGTATATATTTTAAATGTAATTTTTATTTTTCTTATTTTTAGTTTCGATTTAAATAATACCAGTTCTGAAGAAAAAATTTTGAAATCTTCAGTAGCGGAAAATTCCGAAGAAAATAAAACTTTAGATGAATTTGAAGATATTCATCTTGATTTGCTAGAACCTTATGACGTTTTAAAAAATCCTATTGAATCACTTATACATATGTATCCATTTTTTTTTTCTTTGGGAATATTTATAAATAAAATATATTGTTTTAATTAAATAATATATATTAATTTATATTTTATTTTATTTTTAGTTATGGTTTAGATGAATGTGATGATGATCAATCAAGTACAGATAATTCAGAGAAAAGAACAGTCCCAGAGGATATCAGACAAAGATCAAATGAAACTAAATCTGTTAAAGGATATGGTAGTGGAAAAAAAATTAGTAAAAAAGATACGAAAACTTCAAGTTATAAATCCAAGAAAAAAGAAACAGATGATTATGATAGTGAAGATCTTAAATGTTTTTTAAAAATAATTTCCCATGATATTTCTGTACGGGAGTTAGACCATATTTCAAGTGAAACATTTCAAAATATACATGATATATTAAATTCTATAAAAAGTAATTATAATAAAATCATAAGTGAAATTAATGGAAGCATGCAATCTTTAGCAATACTTGCAGATGAAGAATTGAAAAATATTGATTTGAAAGCTTTACAAGAAATGGAAAATTGTTATAACCGTCTACCTAAGTATGTAGATAAATCGTTACTAGATTTATACTATCATATTATATTATCTAAAAATAATACATACCATATAACTCGTAATAAAGCAGAAATAGTTACAAGTATTAAGAAAGCTTTAGTCCTTTGGGAAAAATTATTAAAGCAACTTGATTTCGCACAGGAAATTACTAGAACCTTAGCAAATATTATAGATAATTTTACATACACTAAAATTTTTTTTAGTATTTCAATATTTTCAGAAAATTTAAATTGTTTTTCAGTTCTTTTTGAAGAAATGGAAAATTTAATAGAGAGTATTTCTAAATCAGTTAATGATGGATTTTCATCACATAATAAAACTAAAATAGAAATTGCTAAAAAATCTTTATATGATGTTAACAGAAAAACTCGTGAAATTTACAAGAAAAGCTCAAGTAGTTGTTTGAATATGCTTAGAATGATGGATTTTTCAGGAAATGATAATAATATATTATTAGAATTTATTTTTAATAATATATATGAAGAAAATGAGAAAAGCAAAAAAATTATAGAAAGTATTATGGAAAAATATGAAGATAAAAACACAATAAAAATGGTTCATAATTTTTTTTCAAAGGAAAGAGAAAGAATTTTAAAATATAAAAATTATTCTTCTACCCTTTTTTGTCCAAGTGTTAGTAGAGAAAGTATGAATAAAAAATCTTTACATGACATAATAAACAACCCTTGTACATCAAAAATATTGCAATCATTATATCAACAATTAAGAGAGTTAATGGGAATATCAATTATTCGTAAGCAAGCAGATAGTATTTTAATGATATTAAATTCATTGAATGATATAAATTTGGAAATGAGTCATTATGTTAGACCAAAAACGGGAACAATAACAGAAAATATAAGTTGGTTAAATTTATATTCAAAAATACAAATACAAAAAGATAAATTTGAAGAAGTTAAATTAAATATGAAACATTTATCTTATTTTAAATCTTTAAGAAAAAATATATTAGATGTCAGTGAAGCAATAACACAAGGAAAAAGTCAATTAAAATTAACCCATTGTTCTTTTAATCCGATTGTACGTGCAATTCAGGATGATGAATCTAATGCAATAGGTCTTAATGGGAGAAGAAAAATTCAGAATTATCATATTTTGTTCTCCCTTTTTTACATGAAAAAAATTTTGGAATTGTGCAATATAAGAGAGATTTCCTAATACTGTATTATATATATGTGTATACATAAATAGAAATAAAAATAGCTTATATATAAATTTCTTTTGAAAAAGAAATAAATATACAATTTTTATATATAAAAATTCTTAAAAATACTGATAGTTTAGAAATAAAATAAGTCTTTCTCTTTTTTTAAAGAATATACTTATATTAGATTGACGATACACTATTCATTAAATATAAAAAAGGAAGAATTTTATCATAGGTGTATAAACAAAAAGAAAAGAAAAAAAAATGTCATCAAGAATCTTGTTTGTAAAAATAATTATGAGAAAAATATTCTCCTATTAAGATATTATTTAAAGTAATTTAAAAAAATATAGCTTTTTTAATTTATTTATAAAAATACCCATTATATATAAAATATAGTTTAATAAAAATATTTTATTCAAATAAATCTTATGTTTTTAATGTATTATATTATGACTGAATCCCTATGATAATTATATATAAAAACGATTGTAGTTTCATGAACATTGTAAAAAAAAAAAAAAAAAAAACGAACAGATCTGTATAAATATTTATAATATACATAATTATGTGCTATAAAGAATAAAAATGAATAATATTTTTTACATATATAGATTTTTAAAAATGAAATATCTTTTTTTCACTCTTTTTAGATAGAGTTAAATTATTACATTATACATTTAAATATAGATAATACAAATATTTATATAAATTAATAGTATAAATTATTATTATTTTTATTTTTTTAAAATTAATAAATTTAGTCTATACATAATTTTAATATATGAAATTTATTTAATGAATTTTTTTTTACTAGTTTATCATAAAGAAACTTCAACATAAGATAATATAAACATATGTCTAATGAAATAGAAGAAATTAAAAGAAAATAAAAAAAATAAATGGAATAGATAATGTATAAATTTTTTTTCAATTCCTAATAATTAAGTCTAAAATTATTTTCCCCCTTTTTTTATGATATTGCTTTAATGAATGTAAACAAAAAGAGAATTTTGTTTTTTTATATAAATTATTTAAAGATATGAAAAATAAAAAAGTTTAATTTAGAGTTTATACCTTAGATATATTAATTTAATATACATTTTATCTTTATATAATTTTTTTTTCATTTTTTTTTTTTTTAAAATATTTATATTAAAAATTCTACTTTATTTCATTTGTAAAAAACTTATTTTATAGCTTTTTCTTATGGAAATATAAGAGCGAAAACGTTGCAATATTGCCTTTTTTTACTATAATCATTAAAATATGATAGATTCAAGGTAAAGTAAAAACATAAATTTTGAAGTTAATTAAAACCACAATCGATGTTAAAATAAAAATAAATAAATAAATATAATATAATATATATATATATATATATTGAAGTTATGAACTATGGATTCACTTACATTTATGGTGCATTTATGAATTATATAATTTAGAAGTATTATTAAAATAATTACAAACCTACCGTATTGTAATGAAAGGAAAATTGAATACGTGAAAATAATATAAATAAATCAACTTTTTTTTGAAGTATTGCTAGAAAACATTCATTTTAATATATATAATATTTATGAAATATATTAAAAATTATAATTTACTTGAAAATGTGCTCCCATTATATTATTTAGATCTTAAGTAAGAAAAAACATATGATTTAAATAACAAAATATTACAATATATTATAAAAAATATTTTACAAATAATACATGAAAAAAAAAAAAAGAAAATCAATATTTTTAAAATAAATGTCCATAAAACTAATAGAACATTTATTTTATTCTTCATCTTTGTATATTTTGTGCGTTCACATCTGCATCCCTATTAATTGCGTTTTTAATATTGTCTCTTATATATCTTTATTTTACATATTTATAATTGACTCTGATTATTTTAAGATATGATAAATTTGATTATAGGACCTTTAAAAACTCTTCAAATTTTCTTTAACCTCTTCATTTATTCTTATTTTGATTCTCTTACCCTGTTACTAAGTTTTTATCCTAGATAATTCTCTTGAAATAATTCCTTTTATTAACGTGTCAATTGCTAATTAATCAACCAATTGCTTCTTTAATTATAATAGAAAAATTTTAATTCTCCGTTGTTACCTTTTTTTTACTTATGTTTTATCTTCAGAGTTTTGATTCCACTTGTAAGAAATGTTCAAGATAGTGTGAATAGAAAGTAAATAAAACACAAATTAAAAGTAAAAAGTTTTAAAAAAAATTTTCATTTAATTTTTATTAGGTTTCAATTTAAAAGAAAAAGTTGAAAATGAAAATAACATGTAAATTTTTGAACCAATTTTACTTTATAAGAACAATAAAGTTCCTAAATTAATATAGAAAAAAGTTTAATGTTGTTTTATTATCTGAACAATGACTTTACTAGTATTAAACGAATAAATCATTGGAGAAATACAAAAAAAATTATACTTATTTTTTAAAATAAAATATTACTCAAATTATTTAATCTAATTAATATTAAATTTTAACTTAAATGATTATTATAAATTAAGCACAATACTCTAAAAAAAATTACATATGACATCTCTACCAAAAAAAAAAAATGTTATACATACAAAAAAATTACATATATGTAAAAAGAGCTTGTTAGTGTACTAATTTGGAGTTACACATTTTCTTTCCATATTCAGCATGAGCACAAAAAATATTTATTATTTATTTAAATACTATTTAAAATAGGTTGATAATACTACTTATAGGGCACATATTATTAAAAATGGTGGAAGTATTTATTTTTATTTTTGTAAATAAGATTTTTAAAGTTCGTTAACTTTAATACCTTTCGATATTTTCTAGTAGTATTTAAGATAATGTTATATTATATATTTATTCATTATATATATTAGGCATAAAGTGTTATTTTATTAGTAAAAAATCATTTTTAATTTTAAGAATTATGATTTATTGTGTTATAAATCTAATTAACTGAAAGTAGCCTTTTCAAATTATTAAGTAAAATAAACAATAATAAGGAAGGTTATAGAGATTTATATAAAAATATATCATAGAAAGACTTGATAAGATATATTAAAAAATTATTTTTAAATTATGCATTAAATTTTTTGTAAAAAGTTTATAAATTTTTTAAACTAATTAATTAAAAGTTCTCTATTTATATGCTGAATATTAAATAATATACATTAAACTATAAAAATTAGAAAAATAAAAAGTTATTTATATACTAAAAGAGAAAATTATAAAAAATATTACTATTAAAAAAATTATAAAGGGGAATGTTTTTTTTTAATGGTTATTATGTGTTTAAATAATGAAAAGGATATTCTAAAAATATGTACTCTATTCAATTTACATAGTATTTTTTTTTTTATTTTTTTTTTTTTTATCGATATATTACTTTATTCTCTCATGATTTTTCGTGTGAATAAGTGCTTCAAAAAATAGTTTGAAACGTTTAGTTTAATAAAATAAGGATTTATGAAATGTTTTAACAAAATTATACAAAATTTTATAAAAAGAAAATGTAGGTAGAAAAAAAAAGAAGAGTTTGTATCATTATACTACTGTATATAATCCATTGTTCTATTTTGTCTTTTTAGATATTAAGATACTTATTTTTTATTTATACCCCTTATCGTGTGTACATAATTCGAGATCATTTCACTGTATATACATACAACTGTTTTAATTTATTTTTTCATTTTCATTTTTTTAATTTATTATGTTATTTATCTATTTTTATTCATTCTCTTTAAATTTTTTTATATGAATTTTTATGTATAAATGAATAAAAATAGTCTCGTCCTTATATATATTATTTTAAAATTATTTAAATATTTAAAATTTTATTAAATATATAAAATTTTATTTCATCGTATACTAATATCTGCATTTATTATTTTTTTTTTTTAAGTGAAAATATAACTTCAAGTTATGTATCACAAAATATAAAATTCATTTTTTTCATATTTTTAAAATTACATATTTAAAATAAAAAGAAATGGATAATTTTAGCAAAATTATGAATTTTTCCTTTTTTTTTGGCAATCAATAAGTATTAAAATCATTTGTCTTTTTTATGTTTTTAATTTTTTTTTGAAACATTATAATAAATAGAATGACTAAATTGCTAAAATGTTAAAATAATTTAAGTAAAACAATTACATAAAATGAAGAAATAAATAGTTGAAATTATTTTATAAAATTAGGAACATTAAATTACTGAAATATTTATTTTAAATATAAACAATTCAAAAAAATTTCAAGAAACATTTAAAAAATTGGAAAAAAAAACTTTTGAAATAAAGATTAACGTAAGAATGTGGAAATTTCAATTATATTGATAACACTCTGGGTTTTTAAATATCGAATTATATTAAAAAAAAAAAATTGTGTGATCAAATATAATTTTACTATTATTAAGTTTGTTGGTTAATATAATACGAAAGATTTTTGAAAATAAATTATAATAAATATGGTATGAAGTATTTCATATATATATATGCAAAAAAATTAGTAAAGGATAATATATTAAAAGTTTTCATGTTGCATATATATCGAATTGTTATGTTCTCCATTTTAAGATTTTTCATTTATTTATGTTCTGAGTTTTGCTTATTATCCTTTTCATTGAGTCTTTCTTCCCACTTAGCATTCATTTCATTCAAGTCTTTTATTATCCTTTTCTGTTGATTACTACTTAAGCATTTGATTATGTCTCGCATTGTTGCTTCACATCTTTTCCAATGTAAATTGTATCTGAATAAATCTTGTTCTGTCCAATTTTCACAATAACTGTTTTTTATCCATTTCAATGTCCTCTTCTTTACTTTGGACCATTTTCTCATTTTAACTCTTTCATCAATATATTTCCTTAAAGGAGAATGGCATGATACACGCACATTATTTAGATTACTTTCACAACAATTTGCATCTACTTCTATCTCTGCTAACTTCCTTATGTGATTTTTATTAAACTGTAGTCTCAAAATGATTACACCCTGTATGAACATAAGTAAAAATTTTTGAATTAAATATTTTAATTAAACTTTTTTTTTAAATTAAATAATTTTATGTAGGTTATTTATAGTAGAAAAAAAAAAACAAAATATAGATTCTTACTTTAAATATAATAGATAATGAGAAAAGATATAAAATAAGAAGCACAAGTAGCCTACGTTTTATTTTATTTTTTTTCCCAAGTATTTCAATATTATTATATGATGAATACACGTAGAATTTTTTTACTTTTACACTAAATGTGATAATCAAAAATTTTATTAAAGAATATCTAAATGAACCATCAATGGATATCATATTTATTTGTTATATCTGTTAATGTTAACATAAATTTTTTATTATAAATATATTAAAAATTCCTTTTCACATGTAGAATATTCTTACTTAATTTTTAATATTACTTAAATTTCTAACTTTTAGGGAAAAAAAAAGTAATATAATAATTAAACTACTAAAAATGTACGTAAAAGATTATAAAATTTCACAGTAATAAAGTTATTTTAAAAAACTTATATTTAATTTACTTTGAAGATTTCCATATAAAGCTTGATTATATTAATATAAACAAAATAAAATGAATAGATAAATTAAAAAGATTCATTGTTGAGAAATACATATAAATACTTGTTTCTTATAATTTTTTTAATAGAAATAATTTATATATTTATAGAATTTTATTTCTAATATATTTTTTATAAAAAGAAATTTTAAAACATTTATATTTACTATATTTTATTTTTTTTTCATTTCTTTTTATTAATATTTTTTTAAAAAATAAAAAAAAAAGGTTAATTTTCTAGACTTATGTAAAACAAATGGGAAATATAATGGTGCTCAAATTATTTCCTCTCCTTTTTCTATTTTTGCCTATATATTTTTCAAAAGTTGTTTATATATATTATTCTATATTTTAAAATTAATAAAAAAAGCACTTTTTTTTTATTATTTTTTAGTTTTTGTTTTTTCACATTTATGAGAACAAAATGCTTAATCTAAAATAATTTTCTTAAACATTTCTAAAGATACACAAATTAATTATTAATTTTAATATTTAGTAGATCAAATCCTTGTTTATTTTTAAATACGTTAAAACAAATTATTATGTATTTAAAATATTTGCTACTATTATTAAAAATTTTTTTTTCTCTTTATATATTTCCTTTATTTTAATCTTATAATTCTAAAATTTTTTAATCATATGATTATGTAAGATTTTCTTCATGTAGTTTCAGAATTTTTTTCATGTTCAGTCGGTTATTATATTCCTCTTTCCTTCAGCCTTATAACATGTAAATTTTTAATCATTGTCACATTTGAATCAATATAGTAGATTTTACTTTTTACCGTTTTTAATTGAACTTAGAAACAAGTTTGAAAATTTTAAAATTAAAATAGAATCAAATATACTAAATATGAAAAGCGATATATTGAAACGAAATTAATAAAAGTGTAAAACAAAAGGTTTACTTCATGATAATTATTTTTTATGAAAAATAACAATTTAAAAAAATATAATGAAATAAAAAAATTTATGCTTCTAGTTTTTTTTTTTAACTTATATTTAAAAATTTTTTAAAATTGTAATTAAATTCATTTTTTTTTTTTTTATATGAATGAAACATGCAACTATGCACCGTAATTTAAAACATTTTAAAAGAAATATATCAATGCATAATTTTTAGTATACCAACTTTAAAGAGAAAATGTAAAAAAAAAAAATTCATGCATATTCAGCTATACTATTTTATATATTTATGTTATAGTTAAAATATACAACATAAAGATTTAAGAGGATTGTTTTTTTTATTTTATTAATGTTCTCAAATTCAATATCATACATATTTTTTATAATAAATAGTCATATAAATTCAGATAACAAATTATATTGAAATACTTTTATTTATTTTTTTAGAATATTTATGTTTTTAAATTCTTCCACTTGTAATGGAAAAGAAAATTATGTGATATTTTTCAATGATTATTTTATGAAGAAATTATTAACTATTAAAATTAGTATATATATTTTTTTTTAAATAAATTTATTTTTTTTTTGTTAGCATAAAAAAAAAAAAAAAAATTTCAATAATGCTCTTTAGTGGATTTTAAATTAGATATACATATATATTAAAAATTTAATAAATAATATTTTTCTAATAATGCTAAAATCAATGCTATTTAAATTTTTTATATATCGGAAAATTTGCATAGAAGAAAAAAGAAATAAATGTTATTTTATATTTTTATCAATGATATCTTTTGTGGTTACTGTTTATTTAAATTACATATTCATAAATATTATATTAAAATACGTAATTTTGTTTAACTAGTTTTAATTATTTTTTTAATTGTTAATCTTTTAATTTTATAATTAACATATTACTAATATTAAGCACGCAAGTCCATCTATTTTCTCCAGTATTTTTTTTTTTTTTTTAATAAAAAAATAAAAATTACATAGTTTATATAAAATATTTCATATTTTATATATATCATATAACAAATGTGGAAATTTTATAAAAAAAAAATAAAATTTTAATTATAAATATAAAGGAATACATTTTATTTTCATTATTTCCTAGGTTAGTTTAATTATACATATAAGTATCAATATTTAAATTTAAATAATATATTAAATTTACTCTAATATCTATTATTTTATGTTAACCTATTTATTAATCAAAATAAGAAATTAAAACGAATAATAATATATATTAGATAATTTTTAATGAATGCATATATTAAATTAATTTATTTTATATTTGTACAAATAACATTTTAACCTTATATATTTATGGACAAAAAAATGGAAAATAAATAAATAATTACATAAATAATAATTATTTTTTGGATAAAATTGTTAGTTGAAATATTTATTTTTTTTTTTGTTTCTAATGACACAAATACAAACATTAAATATTTTGATTAATTAAAATTCAATAAAAATAAAACATAAAAACGAAATGTTTTGTTTCTTTATATATTTTACATTTAAATTTAGTAATAGATATATGTCATAAACATAAACTTTTTACATATCAATTTTTTAAGTTAACAGTTACGTTTTTTATAAAATAAAAAATAAAATTAAATTTATCTATTGAAAAGTATATAATCTTTTAAACATTCATGTAGAACACTCTTTTCATTTTTAATTATTATTTAAACATAGATATTTAAAAATGATATATGAAAGGAAATTCAACCCAAAGAGATAAAATAAAATATTCTGATTCGTAAGATTTATAATTTTTCCGTTAATTTAAATTCTGACCTAATATCACAAATTGTAATTAATAAAATAGAAGTATAGACTATGATATTCCACATTATGATATATAGTTAGTATTTTGTATATTAAGCGTAAAAATAAACTTTATAATAAAATTTTTAAATGCATGTAGAAAAATACTTTTGAAATGTGAATAAATAATTTATTATACAATATAATACTTAACGAAATATATATATGATTTTTCTAAATAAATATGATTTAAGAACAATTTTTGTAATTATATATTAAAAGAAATTACTAAAAAAAAGATAACAGTTGTAATTTATATGATAAATTGATATTATAATTTTATTTTATATTAAGGAACATACCAAATATACACACAACTTATTTATAAAGAATATTTTTTGTGCCATGTTATTAAGATACAGCATATTTATTACGGATATAATAAAAAGAGATAAAGTTTATAATATAAAATATATTTCTTAATAATACTTTATATTCTTAAATGTGAATGTGAGTTTATGATTAAAATGTATATTATGTAGTAAGTACTGTAAAAAATAATATGTATAATACAACTTTTTTATTCTATCATATTACTATAAAATGAATACTAAAAATATTTTTTAATGTTGTTTAGGATAATAAAAAGCTGAAATTAACTAATATTTTTATTCAGGTAAATATTCATCAACATTACTTTAAGGTTTAAAAACTTCAAAAAATTACACACTTTTTTAGTGTATAATTTTATCAAAATGTTTACATTTTCTGGAGAATTTCATTACATTTAAATCATCATAGGTTGTAAAATAAAGGTTAAAGTAATATAGAATAATAAAACTTTTTTTTATTTTAAAAATAAATAAAATATTAATGCTATTCATAAAATAGGATATTTAATAAAAAAAAAATTCTTTTTAAGAAATGTTGTGAAAAAAATTAATAATTAAAAAAAGAATATCTTATTTCATAGAACAATTATAGATATACTAGAAATTTGGTATTAACCATGACTCAAGAAAAAAGAACAATAAATATGTACATTATTTAGTAAAATATGGTAAAAGATTTAATAATTCAAATTTTTTTCATAAAAAACTTATGAAATTAATAATTAATAAAATTAATTTTATAACTTTTTGGATGTGTAAATATCTTTTATGAAGTAAAATTAAGATAGGATATATTTGAGATCGCATAAAAACATGGACTAGTTATATAACTAAATATTATGAGTTACCTAAAATTAACAGTTAATTAAAACTATACAGTTTTTTTTTTTTTTTTTTATTTATATATATATTTAATGATTAATTATTATTTTCTTTTTGATAAAATATTTTTTGGATATCTTTTTTTATTTTAATTTATAATTTAAAGCAAGTTAGGAATTATATTGGTATACTATCTTTAATAAAAATACTGGAGTGTAATATTTTTATTAAAGATAGTACGGTTTTATATAATATATAATGTACATTTAATGTTATAGTAACAATCTTTGTTAAAATGTAATTATCTGCAATGTTAAATCAGCAATTAAATTTAATTTGTGAATTGATGATCAAAATATAGAACACATAATTTAATGCAAAATGCAGTAAAATAAGGTTTAAATATAATATGAAAGTTTGAAACATTCTCACATAAAAATAAAAAGTATAATAAAAAAGAGTAACAGTATAAATATGCATAAAAGAATTTAAAGATAATTATTATACTATTTGTTAACAAAAAATATTTTCTACATTGTATGAGATAATCGTTACTAAATTATGTGAAAAATAACTAGTTAACTATTCGCAAAAACTATTTAGGAAAATTGATAAGTAATCAATAAAAAAAGAAAAAATGATAAATTTTTTTTTTTTTGTAGTACATTTTTTTGTAAATTATCTTTATTTAATTATATTTTTAAAAAAATTAAAAAAATATCTTTTTTTTTTATATAATAGTAATTTTGTCTATTTTGAAGGATGAAATGTGGAATCCAGAAAAAAATGAATTTGAAACTTAAAAAAAAAAAAAAAAAAAAAAAAAAAGGATTCTGTTTTTA